GACTTTACTTCAAAGGATCCACACACATCTGAATGAACCAGCTCCAGTTTTTGCCTTGATCTTATAGGCAAATCACATTTGAACGCCTTCCTTTCCTGTTTGGCTTTGCAACATTCCTCACATATCTGCTTTGGTTCCTTCACATACGGTAACCCAAGCACCATTCTTTTCTTATTGAGCATACATAAACTCTTGAAGTTTAGATGTCCATACATGTGATGCCATAGTCAGTTCTTGTTCTCTTCTATAGTTGAAGCAAGACATTTGTGATCTGATGTATTGAGTTTAACCTTAAAAGTTTTGTTCTCCACCAATGGTGCTTTCATTATTATAGCCTCCCATCAGCCCTATATACCTTCATCTGATTATTTTCCAACTTCATATTGAAGCCTTTTGCAAGTAATTGACCTACACTTATCAAGTTACTTGTCATCGAAGGTACATATAGAACTTCAGTGATAATAGCCTTTTGACCATCCTTTGTGATAATTGAAATATCTCCTTTACCACCTGAATTGATATGCGTGCCACCTGCAAACTTTATCACCTTTTCGACTGACTCGTCTAACTTGGTAAACCAGTTTTTATTGCCAGTCATGTGGTTGCTACATCTTGAATCCAGATACCACATGTTATTTTTCTCAGTCGACTGAGCGTTCACCAACAACAATACACCAAAAAAATCACAATCTCCAGCTCATGCATATTGAGCTTCATCACTATCTTTCAACCTTGCAGCTTTCTTTCTTCGACAGTCTCTAGCATAGTGGCCAAAACCTTGACAATTGTAACATTGCACCTCTTTCGTGTCAACTTCCTTCCCGGAATACTTGTTTCCCACACCTTTGAATCAATATTCTTGCTTGACTTCTCATCACCAGCAAGATTATTTCGCTGCTTTGACTTCTCTTTTCCAGATTTCTTGTTGAATCTTGATTGCAATGCTTGTTCAGCTGCCTTCTCTCTTTTTGAGTTTCTCTACTGCAGCCTCATTTCATGAGCCTCCAATGAATCTTGAAGTTCTTCCAACATTATCTCAGATAGATTCTTGGCCTCTTTAATAGTCACAATAAAGAAATCAAAATCTGCGATTAAAGATCTTAATACCTTTTCTAGCTTTTGCAGATCCGTAAGCGCTTCACCACATGCCTTCATCTGGTTTGTTATTGTTATAACTCTTGAGAAATATGCAGAAATAGATTCATCTGAAGCATCTCATACTGCTTCCTCATTGTCTGTAACTTCACCTTCTTTAGTTTTTCATCTCCACCATACAAAGATTTCAACTTTTCCCAAGCTCCTTTTGTTGTTTCTTCTTCAATTATCTTCTCGAATATGTCACAATCCACACTGGTGAATCAAGAACAGCGCCTTGTCATCTTTCTTCCTCCGATCTTTGTACGCAACTTTCTGGGCTCCCGTAGCATCTACTTCCAGTTCTAATATTCCATCATTCAAGATTACGACATCTTGAAATCTGAAAATAACCTTCATTTGCGCAACTCATCGTTGATAGTTTTCACCTTTGAAAACCGGTAGATTCTCTAGAAACTGTGTTGATGTTGTTGATCTGTTTTCCATTAGATTCTCTTTGAATCGCAAACAAGCTCTTGATACGAATTTGTTGGAACAAAGGATTTAAGAAAGATGATTTTGTGAAAACAAGAAGAAGAAGAAGAAGAAGAGAAGAGAGAGAAAACTATGAGTTAATTAAGTGTAACTAACTCTTTTGATTGAATGTGTTATTATTGCTCTACTTGATTACAATCACAATGGCCCTTTATATAGGCAAAGTGTCCATATCCAAATACATGTTAAAAGTTCAAATAACTACATAACAAGAATTAACCAACTAAATAAAAAATTATGTAAGTAAATAGACAATAAACTATGTTAATATAAAATTTTCTCCACCAACCATAAATAATATACTCAAATATCATGGGAGAATTATCAATAAAAAACCATAAAAATCCTAAAGCCATTTGTAGAGGGATCTTCAATAGCCTCCCTTACCCACACACAATCTAGAAAATTCTTAAGTTTTGTGTTTATGCATTTAACACGAACACGAACACGAACATATTTCTTAAATATACTCTACATGCACAAATATAATTAGATAAATTTTAATATATTAGTTATATGCATTGATATAGTAGTTTGTACTTTATTATTTTAAACTATTTGTAATATATGTTTGAATTATTTTTTTGAGTGTGTGCTACTTTATCATTTTGTAATATATGCTAATGTATGTTAGAGCATTATTAGAAAAATTATATTTTATGACAATGATTTTATTTTATTATTTAAAAAATTAAGGTATAATAGTTAGACGCGCTATATTTTTTCTTTAAAATATATAATATGTTATGTCGGTTTTAGTTAAAAATTATAGAGTAAATTAATCTAGGATACATCCCTCGAATTTCAGCAACTTTAGATTATGTTTTTATTTTATTAAAAGTGACGTCTTCCTGAATATTTTATTTTTAATTTAAAAATAAGTTATTTTTTATTTCGGTTTTATTATTTAACTGAGATTAATTTGTTTCTATTATATATACGAGTCAGGATTCATTGACATCAGGTGTAAGTCTAAAAAATTTATATCAAATTTCAACCGTGAATAAGAATAAATCAAATTGTCTTATAAATAGTCTATTTTGTAGGAAAAATAAATGATCATAATATTGTTTTTTTTTTACTTGTTGTTTAAACAGATTTATGTTATATGTTTAATCTTGTTGTTGTTGTTGTTTAGTTATTTTACTATCTAAAATTATAAAAGTCTATATGTTGTAGTTTAGTGTTATTGTTATTGAATTTGAGATTGATATTGATATTGAGGTTATGTTTTCGTAATTTTTTTTTGCAACTCTCATCTTATTCCATCGAGTTGAGTTTATTATATCTAATGTCCATTATTTGTTTCACTAACTCATATTTGAACATATAACCTATTAAATTGATTTTGGAAATAATCATATGAAAAATTATGTTGTATTTAAAACATATCTTACACTGACCAATATTTTTCTAGCATTTTACAACTTATCATTCATCCCATATTCTTTTATAGTTAAAATATCTTCAATACTTTTAGTTTTCGTTCAACTTTCTTCCATATTTGTTCGTTTTTCAAAGCTTCAAATTTCATGTCTTCGAGAATGAATTAGTAGAAAATGAAGTGTTGAATAAAGAACTTGAAACATTGAAGAGATTTTAACCATTAAAAAATGTGAGATGAATGATGAATTACAGGGCGAAAGTTAATGATTAGTGTAAATTGTTCTTCATACATAACACAATTGTTTATATAATTATTTTCCTAACAATTTTGAGAAGTTATATGTCCAGTTAGGATTTAGTGAAATAATCAACTCACATTAGATAAAATAAACTCAATCGTGTTTTATCCGTCGGTGAAATGTCAAAATCGAGATGAAAGGTGTTATACCCGTTAGTGTAATGTTAAATTCGAGGAAAAATGTGTTTTCATCATTTAAAAAATTATAAAAAGATTTCTCTGAGACTCAAACTCGTGATCTTTACGTATCATTTGTCGGTTGAGTTGAAATCAAAAGGTAAAGAGATACACCTTTTAATTTTCGTTACCTCACATTTAAAACTAGTGTAATACCTCATATTCAACCGAAATTAAATATATTTTTTATAATAGTGAAATTTGATATAAATTTTGAGGTTGAGTCGGATTTTAAATTCAAGATAGGTTGTGTATTAAAATTGAAGATTTCTATTTTAAAAAATTTCATTGAAAAAATAGGGACATAGTAAAGATTTATGAGTTAGTAAAATGTTGTATTTATAAAAGAAGTAACTCTGTATATTTAATATCTTAAAATTATAGATGAAAATGTAACATCTCTTTCCGAAATATTGAGTTTGTTGTTGCACCCGAAACATTTCATTTTTTTCTTTCTATTATGATATCAAAGCATGAAAATGTCAAAGTATGTTTGTAATATCGATTAAAAATAATTACATGCATGTTCATGTTTACGATCCTAGCCACTGCATTTTACCATTGAAAATTTAGATTTATGCATCTTTCCTTTTTATGCAAATTGAAAACCCATACTCTGCTTGTGTGAATGTGTTGGGGCTTTGTAGGGTACTAACTGCAACGTTTGACCTTCTCTTACTTTTTTTTGCTTTTAGATAAGTATGTAGCATTCATTTTTACATGAATTACAAATATTTCTTAGAAAATAATTACTACTTAGAGTAAAAATATCGATTAAACTAAACTATTGATCTAAGGTTCAATTTTTGATGTAAGTATTTATTCATAATCAAAACTTTTAGTTTCTTTTACCTTCATTTTTTTTATCACAAAACTAAATCTCAATAGTTTATTGAATGGATTTTGAGTTTTTAGACACATGAATAGAACAGAACAATCATTGAATTGTGAATGTTAGTGTCATAGCCGTCTCTAATTTTCTCTTACTCCCTCAAGGCATTGTAAGCCTCACACATGCCAATTGCACAACAACATGTCTTTTTTCCTATCCCCAAGGAAATTATAAGCATCACCTAAGTGTAGTTAAAAAGTAAAAAAATAAAATAAAACAACTATTATACACCTTAAATTTGACCCTTCTTGAGTTACTAGAGATCAATAAATAAAAAGAAAAAAAAAATCAATATTTCAATAACATTTATAATTAACTTTTTAATCATTTATTTCTCTATTCTTTTTTAACCCTCATTTTCTAGGTAAAGTGATCAATATAATAGATAGATCCAATAACTTTACCTTGCAATAAAGGGGTGAAAAACACAACAATAGTGTGGGCCATTATTATTTAATTAATAAATCAACAAAGGACAACAATACTACTAAAAGAACATAATATAAATATATGTGCAAAGCTGCTTCACCTTCACTTCACTTCACTTAAGTCACATTTCTTTCTTTCTATAATTCTTAAAAAAAAAAAAAAACACTTCTCACACAAGTTTTCATCATCATGGCCAGACCTCAACAACGTTATCGAGGTGTTAGACAAAGGCATTGGGGTTCTTGGGTCTCTGAAATTCGTCACCCTTTACTGTAATTTCCTTTAACTTTACGTTCATCTTAATCCATGCATCTGAATTATATTATGTATCAATTTCACATGATGTTATGATTATTACAAAGGTTGTTTATTATTAAAATTAATTTTTTAATTTTATTTTCTTGAATTATTATAGGAAAACAAGAATATGGTTAGGAACATTTGAGACAGCAGAAGATGCAGCAAGAGCATATGATGAAGCAGCAAGATTAATGTGTGGACCAAAAGCACGTACAAATTTCCCATACAATCCAAATGGACCACAATCTTCTTCATCTAAGCTTCTTTCACCTACTTTAACTGCAAAGTTAAACAAATGTCACATGGCTTCTCTTTCTCTTCAAATGTCGAAACAACCTCAAAAAGAGACACAACAACATGTTTCAACACAAAGTTTCAATTCTTGTTCGGTTAACAATAGTGGTTTTGTGTATGGTAATGATGACATTGGAAGCGGAACAAGTGATGAGAGTGGTTTAATTAGATGGCTTGATGAAGGGAATGGTTTTGTTGGTTTTGAAAATCATCATGTTGAAGTTTCTCATCAGCAATTTCAACCTGTTCTTGAAGATGATCATATTGAACAAATGATTCAAGAGTTGCTTGATTCTGGTTGCTCAATCGAGATTTGTTCCGTTGCTTCATCTTAGGTTATGCGCTAAAAAACATCGCATTTAAGATTTTCTATAGTTTCGATGAATTGCTAAGACTCGAGCTACGCGCTACGCTAAAAAAATATATCGTATTTAAGATTTTCTATAGTTCAGATGAATTTCTGAGACTCAACTCACCTAAAAAAAATTTATGAAAAAAATGTAGCATTTATCCATGACACCTTTTTGAGAGAGAGTGTGTGTGGTAATAGTTGTACTAATTCACTATGTAATAATAAATGTATAAGGTTGATAAGTACTTTTGGAGATTAACTTATTATTTAGTATAAAAAGAGTACAATTTTCTTAGCTTATGTTTTTGTTTACATTTGGTATTAGTTAAAGTTGTCCAAAATTCTTCACAAAGTGTTGGATAGTGGTAGGGACATGTTTGTTTTTAGATATGATGTCCCTAGCTTTTATATGTTTATTCCCATTATTGAAGAGATAAACTTTGGATTATATGTCAAGAAAGACAATTACAAGAAAAAAGAACAACAATGAAGTAAAGAAGAAAAATAAAGCTAATCAAGTTAACTGATCGAATTCAGACTTAGAATCTCTGCAGCAAAAGCTCAACACAACAATCTTGACCATAGATTTAGATCATACGATCAAAAAATGGGATCTATTTTTAAAATTCATGAAACATTTTTTTATAAAAGGTGAATTATTTGATATACATGGTTAACACTTTGTTGTAATAAAGTCACTAGAATCACTTTGGCAGTAGTAGGCGCTGCTATAATAAGGAAATAGAGAAGGCGCTGATATAACATGTTTTTTTTTCTAGTTGATAGCATACCAGACAAACTTTTTTCTATTTCTATCCTCAATTTTCGCATACAAGCTATAAACACATGTTCATTCATGATCCACATGTTTAACTACTTTTTCTGTTAAGATGAATTCAACAGATCTTTGATTGTGTATTTTATTAAGAATTTGGAATATAAGTCCAACAAAAAAACTAAATTAGTCTTTTACATTTTCATATGTGGGACAAATTAGTCTCTTTATTATATATAATAGGTGATTAATTTGTCTTTGTTTGAATTTCTTTTTGCAAGAAATTGAATTGAATGTAAGTATTTTTCACAATCAATTTGTATTTATTATTAGTGAGTAAAGTAAATATTATATCTCAAATATCAAATATTTTTATTAAGAGGAAAAATGAAAATGCTATAAATTTAATAATATGAATACTATTCATTAACATCAATACTAAATTAAATAGAAATATAATTTAAGGAAAAATATAATAAAATATGAACCAGAAGATAAAAATAAAACAACAAAATCTAGTTTTGATGGTGTTCTGGGCCGGTCAGAGACACTACAACTGCGACTTAAAGAATGCAACAATTCACCAAATCACTCGCGGATTAGCAGTATTATCTTGGATTATAGCGCAAATAATATGAAATCAGTATCCATCCAACGACTCTCCGCATCTTACACCTAAAGATTAGTAATTTGTTACAACCGCTCTACTATATAAAAAGGAAACACGTTATTTTCTATGTACATTTTGAATTCAAGCTTCATTCACTCATCTTACTCTCATATGTACTTGGATGTTAGAGTGTTAATCTTGTAGGTCAACCTTTTTCTCACGGCATCAGAAGCTTAAGTCCATTGTTGCAATCCACAACCTTTTATCTCTGATTTATTCTGGTTCCCTAGCGAAATAGTGTCTCCGTAGGTGAGAATCGACATTTGATTCTCGTGTTTTCCGCGTTCGAATACTCATCTCTCGGTTCATTGAACGAAGCTTCTTTAACCTAGAAATATGGATCTTTTGAAATCGAGCACCAAATCTCTATTCTCAATCTACTCTGATCATAGATCAATTTTGATTATCAATTTCTCAGGTCTCTGATTTCCAGATCTTCCAATCATGGTAGGCTTTAGAGCCACTTGCTCTGGTGTGATGCACGAGGCAGTCGCAGCTACTCATGCCGCAATGAGTGAAGATCTCGTTCTGCTTCACAACTCCACCAAAGGCGAACCGTCGTTCATACCTCAAGCATCACTGGTGTGGTACCAAAACCAAAGTATCTACCTGGATTCTAATAAAACTTACATGCGATGGAGAAAATGTTATTTCGTCTCGAAGAAAGCCTGCATAGTGCAAATCCAAGAGGCATTATAGTCTAAGAAGTTGCATCTTGGAGAAGTCATACCTTCATCCCTGAGTCGATAATGTCTCGCCGAGATGCAATTTCAAGGTCTCCAAATTGTCAAGGAAGCTAGAGGCATCAAGCTCCTCCCCATAGTCCTAAAGAAGGTTGAGGTAGTCATGTTCTTCTTGAGGAACAAGATGAGAAGCCTCCAGTCATAAACCAACAGAAGCATCCCTCTTCCACCCACATTCTTGATAGTCGGATACCGAAATCACTGTAAAAACCTCAAAAGTAGAATAAATATGATGAAAAGGGAGATCCCAACGAGAATATGCAACATGTTGGTGATTGCTTGAGTTACTACCACGCCGATGAGGCGGAGAAGTGAAAGCACTTTGCATTAACATTGACCGGATCAACTAGGCTCTAGTTCAAATATTTGCATGATAAGAGTGTATATTCATGGCCCGATCTGTGTGAGAACTTCATCACTTGCTTCACAACTCGAAAAAGGCAAGGTGAAGACAAACTTCTATCTAGTTATTTGTTTTGATGGAGACAAATGTGTGTAAAAAAGATCAATATGTTAGCTCAAGTCATGATTAAAAGAATACAAACTTCTTTAGATAAATGAATCAAGATCAAGGATTACTTATGTATCAAGGTACAAATATGATATTCATTATCAACAGGCTAAGTGCTCAAGCATACTTCATCTTAAACCATTCTTCAAGCATATAGCACGAGTAATTCAATTTGACATGTTATATGCTCAATGAAGGGATGGTAAAACACTCAATCCACATACGATATAATAAAATCAATTGTATCTTCTATTTTGTTAGGTTGAACGAAATGAAAGTAGCACAAGGAATAACATTATCAACAACAACATAGGGAAACAAAAATAACAACAATAATACAATATTTTACCTATAGGTAAAATGTTATGTTATTGCTGTTGTTTTTGTTTCCTTATATCAACAAAAGAACAACAACATTTATAACTCAATATTATCAACAAAACTAAACATTAACAACATAGATCAATAAACATAACAACATAACTAAACATTAACAATATATAACTCAATATTAAAAAATTTGGACAACAAAAAACAATAACATGACTAACAATAATCACAACAATAACATAACCTTTTTACTTATCTCAAAAAAAAAAACATATATAACTCAACTAAAATATCAACATTAATAAAAAAAATTAATTGTATCAACAATATTTATTTTGAAGTGAACTAAGCTAGCTTATATAGGAAAAATATTTCACCACAATTGATAAAATAAACTATGGTAAAATATCTATGATATTTAACCTCACTTGTTAAAAGGAATTATGGTGAAAATGACCTTTTGTAAAGAAAAACAATAAAATTGTTGGTACTGAGATTCGAAGCGTGTCTTCCTTTACATTTCACCACGGTTGTTTATATGTACGTGGGAAAATTGATTTTAAAAAGCTAGCGCTTATTTAATAGATATTATTTCGGTTGCATTAATGGTCGTAGTAAGAACATGTTATGAAATAAATATTTTGTAGTAGTGGAGAGGATCAAAGTAACACGGGAGTGGGAAATTATTTGAATACCTAAGAGTGACACCCTTTTTTTCTTTATATAATGGGGGCGGTTAAAACCGCATACAAGAGATGTGACACATCATGTGCACAACCATTAAATTCATTTGGATCAAAATAAGGAAATACGTATTTCTTGCGTTGACTTTTATTCATTCTTGTCTTTGGGCTTTTCATCTTAAGTCTTCCGAACGACTTAAAACATGTAGTATTTCATCAATTGAACAAATCTTACTTTTTAATTTTAGTTTTCTTCCATTGAAGGGAAAAAATTTCCATCCCATCACTTTAGAAAACATTAATGGATTGATTTCTTTTTTTATAAGCACTTGTATTAAAGTACAAGGGGTACAACACAATACAAAGAGAACCAAACTACAATCACCAATAGGTGGCCAAAAAACAAAACAACCACTACAACTCTGGATATAAGGAGGGGTTGGAAAAACCACAACTTTCTAACAAAATCATCACTATCCTTAGATAAGATGAAAAGTCAATCTCAACCAAGAGTTTTTACAAAAAGGATAACCTCCACCAAATTCCACCCGGAATTTTTAAACACCAACTTATTCCTACTAGTCCAAATGCACCAACAAACCAATAGCCATACAAAAGCAAAGAAAGACATATTAATAGTGCCAACCAAATTTACCGAAAGAAACTTCAATAAAGCCTCTCCGGTAAGAGCATCCAATGGGCTAGTCTCACCAAATCTATCATAAAAATTAACTCCAGACCAACTAAAAATCTCCTTCCAAAGACTCCTAACATTGATACACTCAAGAAAAAGATGAGCAATGGATTCTTCATGTGACTCGCACAAAGGGCATAAGGAAGCATCAACCGGAAAAACCAAACCTCTGCTGCCTAACTCACTTATAGTAGGCAAGGCTCTCAAAATAAATCTCCATCCGAACAACTTCACTTTGCAAGGCACTTTAGCTTTCCACATCCGATCAAGCTCAAATAATTTATTCTCATTTACAACCACACTAGAAAACTTCAAAGCATATAATCTCGTAAAACTATTCTTAACCGAAAAATCATCTACATCCCTCCACCACACCACACTATCAACACCATCCCTTAAAGGATGAACGTCCTTCAAAATATCCATCAAATACACCCAGTCATCACCAATCTCTCCCACCAATATGGAAGAATCAATACCAATAACTCAAACCCAAACCCAACCTTCATCACTCCACACACCCATATTAGCCACAATTAAAGAGGGAAAATCAAAAACTTCAAACAACCGCGTAAAA